ATTATTATTATTATGTACTACAGATTCAGCACTTTTGTAAATGTAAAAACCATTCATTATATCCTTTTCTCACAGTGCCTTCCAACAGTATTCAGAATCTGCAAAGATTCTGTGTTGTACCACACGGAATGTGAAGTGTGAAGTGGTTTAACTTCACTTTAGGTTAAATGCATTGGTCCCTTGAGTTTCCTTTAGGTAGATACTGAATTTCATGCCACAACTCATTAGACTACTCAACCCTTGAAAACTAAGCAGATTTTACAATATGTCAAGGATAAAGAGTTAGAGAGGTGCAGATCAGGAGAGGGTTACTTATCCTTTTACTTACAGTGAAGTCGGTCATTAAGAAGTGGACTATTATTTCCCCAAACACTCAATGCTTAGATCAGGCAGCCATACTGAACAGAGCAAAAGGACAAGCAAGAAACTAGTTAAGGATAACACAGTAAAGACAACAGTGATCAGAGTCACTGTTGATGTATTGGCAGTATCCAGGTCCCTACACAAACCTGGACTGTATGGGTGAAAGAAAATATTACTGAAAAAAACTCATCTTAAAGTTCCTTTGGCATATACTGCTGACTTGTAGCAGAAGGCTTTATTGTTAGAAGAGATAAAAATTGAACTTTTTGGTCTAAATGCAAAGTGTTACATCTGATGCACACCCAACACATCAACCTAGGCTACTTAAACCCATCCTTCAAGCGTGGTACTGACAGCATCAGAATGCTTCTTATCAGCAGGGACTGAGTGATGATTAAGCTAACTGTAGGTGAATCCTAGAGGAAAACTTGCTTAAGTCACCCAAAAATATAAAACCATACCATAGTGGTTTAGCAAGAAGAGTGGGAATTTGCATTAGCAGCTCACTTGAAGTCCTGACGTGAATCTATAGTACATTTTTGGTAGAAATTGAAGATTGCAGTCCATCAATAATTGTCAATGTACTAATTAGTCATAGCTGATTGAATTTTGCCGAAAAGTTATCAGCAAAGGTTACATCATCCTACTGTGCAAAGCTGGTAAACACCTATCCAAAAAGGCTTAGAACAGTAAATGATGCTTTTATCAAATATTGACTCAATCGTCTGAATATTTATATAATCAGTAAATCATAGCTGTTTTGTAGGTTCTGCTGATATTAAGCCACCTTCACCTTTAACAGTATTCAATTTCACCTGTACAGTGCTCAAAAACATTTTATTAGAAATACCTAATTAATCAAAATGTGATGTTATTTGTAGGGCTGAGTACCCTTTCAAGACACAGCAGATAGTCCATAATTCAACTTTTCTTTAGGTGGAATATTCAATGACTTTTATCTGTTCATCATCTTGGAGGGCTTCTGTTGTAAAATAAATCATCTTTGTTTTTCAGATCAGATCTTCAATCACAACACTCTTGTTTGCTGGTAGAGAGTTCAGCTGGATTCGACATTTCCTAATTGCTGCAGCCTTGCTATTCTTCAACAATCTCTTAGTCATATTTGTACCAACCATTAGAGATATTTTTGGTGTCATTGGTAAGTTTCAATTAATACATTTTTAACTTTATTGTGTGTCCCATCATAAAATATGGAAGTTCACGCCTGGCCGTGCTGAGTTTCAGCACTCCAAATCAGACTGCTTTTTCACTTACTGTCTTTCACTGATTAAACATTTTCCAACAACAGAACCTGATAAATCCTCCCTATCTATATATCAATATAGCAGCGCACATATAACTCTTAAGTACATAAATATCTCAGCTGGCAACATGAAAAACTGATAATCAAATGATTTGGATAATCTTTAGATATCTCTTAAATTGCTAGGGGATAAATAAAACTGTAATAATGATTTTTAAAATTTAGACTGTTTGGAATGCCAGGTGTGACATTGTCGCGTTGTCGCTTGTCTTTTGACAAGCTTCAGAGTCAATTACAGGAGGTTCATCACCACATGAAGGAGAGGTGCCTCCCTCATGACATCACTGCAAGTCAGCAGATCCATGGAGCCTCTCTGTTTCACCAGGAGCTGATAGAGCCCAACCCTTTGTCCCAGTGATGCTAAACCAATCATGTATTTGCACTTAGGGAGTCGCAGTCACAGTTAGCTAGTGATTTAATTCTCTAACTCGTAAAATCTGGAAAACAGAGTTCCAGAGTTTTTTTTTCATGTTATAATAGAAATCAATAACCTTTTCCCTATCGGTCTCATGTAATGTTAACAAAGCGTTATGGGTATCTTGTATATGTTACATATGTTAGGATGAGAACCTTGGATCACTTAAGTACTAGCAAGTTACTTAACACACTATATGGGCGAAATCTTTTTTAAACTACTGTATATGTTAATTAAATAATAACATTACCCTGTTTTATTCAGCTTTACAAAGCCATTTCTGATTGTATTTATAAAATTAATACTTTTATGTGAAGTAAAGATTTAATTTGGCCTTAAGAACTTGCAAAGAATAATGCAAAAACTTACAGTACTACTTTAAGGAGGGGACGTTTTTTACTTTCTTTCCTGTGATCACATATTGTCAAAGTGTGTTCTGAAAAAGCATATCAATGTAGTTGCTTCTGTTTATTTCAGGTGCGTCTGCTGCAACTATGCTCATCTTTATTCTCCCAGCTGCATTCTATCTTCGACTGGTAAAGAATGTTCCCCTGCTGTCGGCTCAAAAGATTGGGGTAGGTTTTAGTGTTTTCAAAAATCAGGTTACGGGAAAAAAAAACATTCTCAGTTTGTTTGGTGACCTACATAATACAGAATGTGTATTTTAGTGGAGTGAAATTTAAACCACCTTCCTAAAATTAATCTGAATGAAAACAATGATAGTTTTCCTAAATATAAATCCTTTAATATTTTAATGAAAATAAAAGCAGAAAATAAATGTAGCTAAGCAAAGTGCTGCAATCTAAACAAGAGTTTTTTTCATTAAATTGTCCTTTCAAAAATACTTAGGAGTAGGAATAATACATTAGTGTCTTTTATTTGTAGTGATTTATCTAGTGGTTGGTTTCCTCCACATGAAATATGTTAAATGTTACTAAATGTAGTTCGTACAACACACAGGTAGACAAGGTTACATTATGTAATTTTCTGATACCAGTAGTAATTCTTCTGTGAAAGGTCACATTTTTAGAAACAGAGTAATGTACCTCATATTGCAATACAGGCTTTTCTAATCCTTTCCTCTACCAATAGGCACTTGTATTCCTCATCGTTGGAATTATTTTCATGATTGGGAGCATGACCCTCATTGTTCTTGACTGGATTCATCACCCACCTGGCTCAGGTGGCCACTAGTGTTCTGAAGCTGGAAGATTATGCACTGATACCTGGAAGTGTCATTCTCCTGGTAGAAATACGCTAATAAAGTGAGCCCGTTCCATTTGAGGAGATGCCATTCCACACTGGTGTTAAAATGATCCAGAGACTGAGTATTAGTGTTTTACTAGGGATCTTTAAAAAAAACATACCCGCCCAGATTGTTTCTTATTTATATGTTAAAAATATGGATTATTTGAGGGTTCCTTTAAAGATGTTTTGCTGTGTATTTTTGTTTTTTAGACATTTCTAGAGCAGTAACAGTATAGCTGGTCATTATGGACAGCAAAAAAATCATTCAAAGATATTGAGTGTACCTGATAGTCATATACTGGTGAAAAACGTTGCCAAAATGTGGTTGCACACATGCCTTTCTGCTATTGCCATGTGTGTGCAGCCTAAGTGAGGACTGATATTTGCAGGTCAAAGCCAATAATCACCTTAAGTGTAATTTTACTACTGTTTTCTGGGGGGAGAAAGGCGAACCTGACCAAAATAGCTGCATTTCTTCAGCTCAGTTTTGGATATTGGAGGTACTGACCATTGTGTTTTTAAGGGCCACAGTACCTATGCACTTACCAATAAGGGAAATGTTTAGCTTAGAAGAACAGCAGTTTTAACTCCTTATGTCTTCAGATATACATTTTATTTATGTGCAAACACACATACGCTCTTCCTCTAAATTAATCAAATTCCCCCTATGCTGGATGTCTTTGTTTTTTTTGTAGTACACTTGAAAGGATTTCACTTACTTCACTTAAGTCACAGAACAACTATAGACCTTGTGTTTAATTATTTTGAAGAAAGTAAACAACCTACAGTATATATATAAATATTTTTTTAATTATCAACTATATTAATATCATTTTTTTTCCTTTGTGGAGACTGTGAGTTTGTGTTTTAGTATTTTTATCACATTTGCTAGTAGCATTCTTTTTTATTTGAAATGTCATTTTAAAAGTTTAATCAGCTTCTGTATTGCAAAGGTTTTGTTTTGAATTACAACTGTACTAGTGTCTGCGCTTTTGTAACATTAAGCATTATGTAAAGTTTTGAATGTAAATGTTAAGGTGTTTTGAGGTCATGATGGGGACTTGCTTTAATGTCTGTTACAGAAATTTCTTAAGAGATGACAAGATGCAGAATATACACAGAACACTGTGTATTTAGAAAATGGAACTTATTCATGGTTATTTTAACTACAACTAAGTTAACTACTCATCACAGCTAAATAATGTACTGTATCAGCATTTTATCTAGTAAAACTAAGCAAAGGGACTTTTTCTGATAACATTCTGGTTTTAAGTGGTTTAAATAATTTAAAACGATTCTGCAAAGTTAATATTCCTTTTAATTGTGTGTCATGTTTAAGGTTGAATTTTTTTCTAAATCATGACAAATGAAGTAAGGAATTGGTTGTCCCCACAATTGAATATGTTGTTTGTATTTGTGTTTTTTACCTAGAATACTCTAGCAATAATGGTTATTACAAATAATTTGCTTTAATGCTTTAGTATAATTTTATGTTAAATGATGTATACATCATTTAAATACCTCCATTTCCTTGTGTTACAACTATAGCAGAATCTTTCAATAGCTCATTTTTTATAACAATTAGAGCAAGATTAAAAACTGTATTTTCAAAAGCTTAATAAGATTAATTAAGGTTTTGTAAAGCAAATAGTTTACAGAAAGTAGTGCCATCCATCAACTCTTTACATTTATCTGATTAATAGGAATCCTCACACTCTGTAATAATTGTACATGTGCCTATACATGTACAATACAATGAATTATGGTACAGCAATGTTGCCTATTCTCAGCTGATGTATATATACTTGTAGTTTACATTTGATAAGGAAAATCACATCTAGCATAGAATGTGTTTAAACACAACCGAACAGAAGTGTGTGTTAAATCTAGCAAGCCAAAGTGGACAATATTTATAGATCTTTTTTAGGTCGCCATATACAAGAAATGTGGATATTTCAAATGAAATGGCTTAACATTATGTGCATGTTTTAGATTACATACATGGTCTTTTTTGACGATTGTATATGTACTGTAAATAATCTGTTATATGGTACAAGTTTTATATAATCAAGTGAAAGTTATAAGGGATCGTGCCATGAGTTTCTCCAAGCCAACAGTCTAGTTTTTCTTTTTCTTTGGAAGTGTTAGTTTTTTTTTAAAAAAAAAGCTCATAGTAAATGTAGGTTTTAAAGAACAATAAATCCTCAGAATGCACATTTCAACTGTTAGCAGTACATACATTTTGTACACATTACTTATGCTGAATGTCTTATTGTGAATTTGGCAAATGTGGGTTACATTAATGTATTTGACTGCTAAATGTCACTTACCATTACTATTGAAAATAAGCAGAGTATTTTCAGTTTTGAAACGTGTTCTAACATTTTCCATGTTTTCAGCTAAGGCATAGAATGTACAGTGTTTAATTATTTCATATCTCTTTCTCTGTGAAATTTCACTAATTTAACTTGAAAATTCTAACACGGATGCATAGAAAACATATGATAAGGGCTCAGCACTGTAACTCCTATAATGCCTTTCACATGTATTTTCTTTGTAAAAATGTATATATTTTGCCCATTTAGGACTTTTACACATTATATTATAGCATGAATGCCCACATGGTGCTTGTGTTCTTGAATAATTTTCATATCACAAGAATATTTACATGTTGAGAGTTATATTAAATGTAAACCTCAATATTTAAGAATTTATATATCCCCAAAATAACTTTAGTTGACTGTGGATTATTTACTGCTTACCAGGGAGATTGACTTTTATTATGGGATGACTAGAAGACAGTGGTCCTTAACCTTCTTAACTTAAATTGAACAGAATATTTTAGAATATTTCTGATACTTCATAAATTAAACATTTCAAATTTGTTACTTTCTGTGTTGCATATTTGGGATATCACCTTGGGATAAAACCCTACAGATACTTTACAGTTCTGTCAGTTGTGCAGGACAGAATTGAACCTTAAGTTAGAAGACACAAAATACCTGTATTATTGATTTTTCCAGAGCAATTTAAAATGTTACATATCATAAATGCAAATCATAGACTTGTTCTTAAATGTTATTCTTTCATTTTAAAACAATTCAGGAACATCTCAAGAGGCCTTATAACTGTTTCCTAGTTCATCCTCATTTTAGAAGACATTGTTGGGTTTTGAAAACACATGATGGTCCTGTGCTGCTGTAAAAGTTCAAAAGGCATGTTGAGTTCCAGTTTTAGTTTTCTTTTTATGAGGTACAACTAAAACTCAATTGTTCATTTGCTGGAACAGAGACGGTTTTTGTTTTGTATAAGAAAAAAATTCAATACTATGTAACATGCACAATAAAAAAAAATAAATGTATCCACTTTGTCTTAGTTTTAATATGGATACAGATTGATGCTTCACATGACGAAAAAACATTAGTTTATTCACTAATGCTTTATTAAATAAGGTGTGGTAAACTATACTAATTTGTCAGTCATGCCAATTTCAGGTTTCCTGGACATTCATTATAAGATGTGGCTTAAAAGTACTATAGTGAAGTATTTACTTAAGTATAAAATTAAACTTTAAATTAACCCCCTAGGGATGAGTAATGTATTTTAAATTGAATTGAGCCATATGAACCCAGTATGTAAAATGTTCATACAGTATACATATCAATATAATATTTAATACCTGTTGTTAATTGTCAGGATACTTAATGAATTACTATGATTTCATCTTTACCCAAAATGGTTTCTGGAATACAATTTTAAAGATCTATTAATGGATGCCACCTGTAATATATTTTATAATGAAAATAACATAATTTTGCTTAATCATACATAATATTGCATAATAATCTGTTACTACTGGTTACAAATAAATTACGGATAATAATAATAGGGTTTAGTCTTAAAGAGGTTTTGTTTTCATATAATCAAAAGAACAGGACAGTTAAGCATCCTCATCACCTGAAAAGTGGAAAGGATTACAAAAGAGAAGATTTAGTTTAATTATATGAATTAATGGAATTACTAAATTAACATATGGTAACATAAATTACTAAATTTTCTCCCTGTAGGCAAATTCTGTCATCAAACTTTGCCTGTTAAGACCTCATACACTATTAGTAGAAATGTGACAACAACCGCAAGAGCAACAACTTTTCCTCTCATGTTTTGCATCATATATGGACTTCTATTTTACTCTCTACACTATAGAAACACTGTAGAAATTACCTTTGTTCTAATTCTCACCTTTCAGATGAAGGACAGAAATTCTGATGATGTATACTTCAGTCGTCCCACTTATCAGATCTCCAGTAAAGAAATGATATAACTGACCTATATACTGATGTCTTGCTAGGATAGAGATAACTACTGAGGAATGTCAACTGATTTTGTCACAAGTGATTGATTCTCAAGACTCTGTGAAAAGGGTAGTGTGATATACAGAATCTATGTAAATATGTACTATACTAGAAGAGAGACCCAGAGGCACCCGCAAAATGTCTTTCACATCTTGATAAAATTTGATTCACATGCTTTATATCAGACAAGCAAAATATTTTCCAAAAACAACTTAAAGTGAGAATTGATTTTTCTGCGAAGGTCTTAACCACTTTCATCTGTTTTTCAGTTTTAAAATCCTTATTTCTTACATTTAGGTCCCAGTAAGGTTCCATGTGACACACAGGACTGACTACTACTTGTCACGTACGTCCAAAGGGACTAACCGTGGGGAGCAGGAGAGCGGAAAAAGACCCATATGCGTAGCGGC